AACCCAAGCTCTACATCCAAAACCCTGGAACTAAAAGCTGAACCACGAGGCATTTAATCTTAAAGCGAGCGGACCCGCCCCCAAACTCACAGGTAAACCACGCCTACTTGGAGGGTCATCGGAGCTTGGTAAGTAGGTTCATAAGTAGGAGAACAATGGTTACTATATGGGTTAAAGGGGTTATTGAAATACTCACTAAGTCCCCCTGACCCTCCAAGTAGCTCATTAGAGAAGGAGAATTGTCTTCCTAGGCCCCCCATCTACCCTCCAATCAGGCCTGAGTACCCGAAATCAGAGGGTACTGGGAGGGTCTTAGTATGTAGGCCCCTTTTGAGCAGGGTCTTTTTGGGTGGTTGAGCCTAGTAAGAATATATTCTTCATATAAAAACCACACCCCAAAATATAATCTTACTCTATGTTGGGTACCTTAGTACGCTAAACCCTGAACCTACTGTTTTGGGCTTACATGTTCGCTTCGGGGATGGTAGAACATCCGACCTCCAGGAGGTCGCAACCTTCGAGCTTTGTCACCTCATCTGAGCTATAATCTAAAATGCTAAAGTGGGTTGTGTAGGGTTTAGGGTTTAGGGTGGGTTATAAAAGGGGTTTATGAAGGGGAGTATTCTAGGGTTTATTCAGGGGAACATTAGGAATTTAGACTATAGCTTGCATCGTTGGATAACTTGCCGGGACTAGGGTTCACGAAAATGGAAACTACAATTTAGGGCGTAGGGTTTAATGTGCGAGGGGATGGACAAGAGAATGTCCGTTGAAGTCTCATTGGGGATTCTCTTTCATTCCCAAACCGGCCCTAACAGGCCGTAAGATACGGGTATGGCAGAAGGTTATTCCAATTCAGGAGCTTCCGAAAGTAGGAATTCTCATCTTGGGAGTCCCTTACAAACCTTCATTGTAAGGATTCTACTTCATGGGGCTCAAAAAGTGGATGAAGGAAGGTGGGTTATAGAAAATAAGCCCCAATATAGTAGAGTATGTACTAAGGATTCTTTAACCCACCTACCTTCATCCCACCTTTTGAGCCCTCTGACATTTCAGGGGTGTCTTAGATTGAGGAACCCTGACTGTGGAAAACGCGTGTATGAGTCTAACGTAATGCTGTTTCAGGGTAATGGGATCACGTGATTCCAATTCTACGTAGGCCTACCGTAAGGATACCGTCTTAGCCGTTACCGACCGAAAGTCTTTTGGATGGCAGGGTTTAGGGTTTAGGGTTGAACCACCCCACCCTTTGAACACCTGTAAGTAGAACCGATGGCACCCCTTTCTGACACTGCCTCAAACATGTAGGATACCCAAAACGAGGGAACCACAATGTACACAACCCCACATGGTAGTTTCCAAAACAAGGGGGCCCCAATATAAGCCCCAATATACTATAGTCCTTGTTATAAGGAGCGCCAAAATGGTACCCCTAATTTTGGGAACCCCCCCACATACTGTACCACACCGTCTTCTCAGATGTAGTGAAGCAAGGGTTTGGGACTGATAATTACTTGAAGCACTTACTGCCAGACCCCTAAGAGGATGCGGCTTAGGGTTTAGGGTTTAGGGTAAACCCCCAATATGGTATCCTCTACTACCATTGGGTAATTTAAAGGATCCCTTAAGGGGATCTACTTTCTTCATCCCCGAAGCGTACTGCACCCTAAACCCATGCTTGCTAGGGTCACTGCTTCAGCTTCAGGCTTCGGGGCGTTCCAAGAAGTGTTTGTGACAAGTATAGCTTATTAGGTTTTGGGGTTAGGGTTTAAAGTGAAATCTGATGGGTCCTCCTCCCCTGCAACTCCATGGGAACACCAGATTTGAATTTGCACTGGAGGCAAGGTTTGTGGTTTCATCAGCACTACAATCCCTGAAATACTGCACAATTTACCATACTTTCTGCTTGGAGACTCATGGGGTTACCCTAATCATTAGTAGAGCTATAATCCCTGGTATAAGTAGTTGCTGAGTCCCCTAAACCCTAGATGCGAAAGGCATCCCTGAAATTCCGTTTTGTTGGTAGGGACTCAAAGCATAGGGATTTCCTGGAACAGGCGGCTTTTGGGGGGATACATGCGGAGCGCAAACGCATGATGTGGGACCCTACTAACAAGGCGCAAATACTTAAGGTACGTCGGGCACGCCTCCTGCGAGGAATGCTTAGCTTTAAGCCCCTTAGCCCTGCAACCTCCAACCAAAACCCAAACCGCTAAACCCTAAACCCCAAGCCCTAAACCCTAAACCCTAAACCCTAAACCTTGACCTCTCTCTCTCTCTCTCTCTCACACACACACTTCACACTGCACCCTACACCCTAAACTTTCAACCAACATGTTCATGTAATCCCTACGGTTGATACTAAAAAGCTTGGATGACCCCATGTACCCTAAACCTTGTAAAGTTTAGTATTGTGGTATAGTAAGCTCATGCTGATCGCTAGTATCAACAGTAGATCCCATTTCCCTGAACCCTAAAGCCCAAGCCCTATACCCTAAATCCTAATCTCTAACCCTAAACCCTCAGGCCTAAACCCTAAACTCTCACCCCCAAAATCCCTGAATCCTAAAATGCTACGCCAAGATGCCAAATTGGCAGTTGGAGTCATGATCTCGCTGAGGCGCGTCTTCCGGTCCTAGCATGAACTGTTGGGGTAGGGTTTAGGGTTCAGGGTCTAAACTCTTTAAAAGGGTGTTGTGTAGCGGATTCTATAGGGGACGGTTATAATATAGGGACAATGGAAAAGACATGGAAAGTAGTATTTAGGGTTTTGGGGTAATATTGGGATAATATGGGGGTGATAAATGGCTATATAGGCATAACGGAGGAGAAAATGGAAGCACCCAATATACTATAATAGCATGAACAGGGGGTGGCGTGTAGGTCTTGGGTCTTAAGGATTTAGGGTTTATGGTACAGGGTTTAGGGATTTAGGGTTTAGGGATTTAGGGTTTAGGGTTTAGGGATTTAGGGTCCTCAGGGTTTCTCAAAACTGGGCCATCCAAATGGGGGACGGGGACTGTGAGGCTAAAGGCAGAGGTGCGGGACACAAAGGATACATGGGGATTGGAAAAATCTGGGTTTTTCGATGGAGGCATTCTATGAGGCTGTTGTTGGAGAAGCTTTCGTAGGTGCTATAGCGAATAATGAAGGAATGCATCCTCATGAGACTGGCCGTCCCTATGCACCCCCCCCATTAGTGAACCCTTCTGCTTTGATCCCTTCCTACAATGCGCCTGGGAGAAAAAAGCCCGCCCAATGTTCCACTCTGAGCCCATTGGCGCATACCATCCTAGGGCATAAGACTTACAGGAAACCTTTCACTGGAACCCACTAAGGGCTACCAGTACCTAGAGTAATTTTGGGTGCTAAATCACGGCAAAGGTACCAAATTACTGGGTACACATCCACTTACCCTGAAATCTAACTAAACCATGTTTATGGGTTCATGGATTCCAAGTATACACGAGAGACCAGTCCCAACTCGCTTGCATACATCGAGATCCGAATCAAAGTCCTGAACCCCTAAACTTGTTGGTTGTTAGTAGGGAATAATGGAATATAGTTCATATGCGGACAACATGTAGGTTATATAAGGAATATATTCGCTTTTTCTCTGTACGCGGTTCCAGTAACTGCATGCTCCTACGTTCTCGAGCCTTCTCATCCCGAATCCCAAAACCCTCTGTCAATGAAACTTCCCCTGCGGCAGATGTGAAACCCCAAGCCATAAACCCCACATCCCGTCTTCTGAACCCCCTGGCAGTCCTGGATAAAGTCCGTGTCCCGCTTTGTCACCTGTATAGCGGCTTGCCGCCAAAGATCTGGGAAGATACCACATTGATTGAAAAGGATGCTCTGGGTAACCTGCTGAGTAGCCCCGCATTCTTGACATGTTGACCTCCAGCGAATGCTTCGTGCTACAAGGTGCAAGGGCGCCGTCGAATACGAAAGACCCTATCACTTAGGGGTTCAGGTTCTCCAAACTGGAGTTGCTACGGAGCTACATAGGGCCTAGGGTCTGAAAAGCAAAGGGTTGTCATGCTCGGCCTGTACAGGAGTATAGGCCTTTACGACTTCGAAAGTGGGAAGAACGTGTTCGGCTTATCATGAATTCATCACCCACGTCCTAGCACAAGAGCACTTGCGAATAGCTTTCCGGTTCGAGAATCCCACTGACAAGCATAGTGACACCGGCAACATGTAGACAGCCCGAACCCTACCAGACTCGTTCGTTAACCCACACGTCCAAATGCGCTACACCCTACAGCCTGAACCTCAAGCTTTAACCCTTCCCGCTGCAGGCCCGTTTCGTGGACTCTGCGTGGTTCGCAAGGGGAAGGTTTGTTGGGCTGAGGTAGGGGCTGATATTGGGGGTTTAGGGTTTAAGGGTTTAGGGTTGGAAGGTCTTATGGGGGAGAAATATTGTTCCCGACTCTTAGAGACCCTGAAGGCATAATGTCGAGCATGGACGGAGTTCCCGGAATTTTTGAAACCGCCTAATTCCTGAATGCACTGACCACTCCCTACACGACAGTCCGTTTTACAACATGATTGAGACTTTATTCCTTGCGTGGGAAGGCTCGGCTCACTGAGTAACCTCAGATCTGACTCTGAATCCTAACCCCAAACCCAACATGTAACCCCAGAACCCGCAGAAACCTACATCCTAAGCCCTAAGGCTCTTGAACCCCCCCTAGTGGTATCCCAGACCGGAGTCTCCAAAACCCCAAACTTCTCCTCAGAAGCTGGGAGCCTAAGCCCTATAACCCTGAAGCACTAAGCCGCGTTTTGTCTGGGTTGCTGTTAAGGAACTTAGGGTTTAGGGTATATTATCCCCCTATAATGGAGAATCAAATGGAAAAGAAAATGGAAAATGAAATGGAAACCGAGGGAATATAGGGATTTAAGGAACTTAAATTAAGTTACTATATTGGGGAAACTCTATTATTTGATATATATATATATATACCCATTTATGGTAACATAAATTAAGTTCCTTAACAGCAACCCAGTTGTTTCTCTTGAATCCGGGCTGCAAGCCCCAGGAGCTTAGCACCCATCTTCCCATTCTCGGTGACAGGGAAGCCGGTGAAGCCCAAAGTACCTTGCCACTTTGGGGTCGAAAAGTTTAGGGTTTAGGGAATCCAAGCCCTAAACCCGAAGAACCTTGCCACTTGGGGGGTTAAAGGTGTGGGGCTTAGGGAGTCGAAACCCTAAACCCAAAGCATCTTGCCACTTCGGGGGTTTAAAGCTCAGGGGGTCTAGAGAACTAGAGTCCCCTTGTATACACCCCCCGCCAAATTACCAATTTACAAAGAACATCCAAAGACAAACTCCTGTTTTTGAAGACTTTGGAACTACCACCCACAAGAAAGGCTTGAGAGTTAGAAGCTCTTTGACGCAGGTTGGAGATATTCAGGGTGGAAAAAGGTTCGAGGACTAACGTTTAGAGCCTATAAGGTTCAGGTGGTTCAGGGGTTGAAGGCTTCAGCCTAAACCTTCAACCCTAAACCCTAAAACCCGGAACCCTAAAGCCTAAACCTAAAATCCTAACCCCCAAACCCTAAAACCCTAAACCAATTCAGGGTAGATTGAGGGATTTGGGGCTCAGGCTTCTGTAGCTATTTGTAGATGGTCCTTTTCGGCGATCTAGGGAAGGGTTTAGGGTTAAGGGTTTAGGGAGGTATGCAGAAATTTTGTAGTTGGCATGTGCTCCAGGTTTGTTTGTGACGTGCTTCTCGGAAGTTGAAGGGTAGCTTAGCTGTCAGACAGCTAGACCCTAGACCCTAAAACCCTAGAGATCTTCCCCGAATATCTGCGTCACCAAAAATGAAAAACGGTGCCTATGTGTCTGAGAGACACCCAGATGTAACAGTAGCTGCAACTTCTGGACCCCAGTAATACTACTGATACTACTAAGAATAGTAATAATACTTCTGAGAATAGTAATAATGATGTAATAACTATACTACTAAGAATATAGTGACAGTAATATTGACAGTAGTGGTGTTAGGATGAGACTTGGGGGCTTAATCTGTCCCTTTTAGAATGCCTTAAGCACTTCTACATCATCTCTGCATAAACCAAGACAAAGGAGCTGGGTTTAGGGTCTAGGGTTTGGGGTTTAGGGGGTCCCATGACTCCTATAGAAACCCTACTTGACCCATTCCGCATCTCTCCAAACCCGATAAAATCCAAACCAAAGTTCTTCAACCCCGAAACCCTGCTGGAAACCCTTTGCCCCATCCTCAATTGAACCCCTGAAAATACCTTAAACACCCGGAATATGCATCCTACATCCCAAAACCCTATCCTAAACCCGGAACCCCTAAAAGCCTACGCCCATAAACCCTAAACCCAGGTTCCTAATCCCAAAATCAAAAAAACCCTAAACCCCCAAACCAAATCCCCGTAGTCCCCCTTAAGTAGATAGAATATGGGGTATATGGGGATCGTATTCTAATATCCTCAAAGCCATATTCTATCTACGTAAGGGAGACTATAAGCCCCAAACACCAAGCCCTAACACCCTTTCGTACCCCGATATACTCCAGCAGTTCCTTATTTCTTTTACATGATTCCTATATTTTCTACTTATGATCCCTAAGCACCCATGGTCCTAAACCATAAACCCTAAACCCGGATGCTCTTCAACTTGTCCAGCTCCTCCACTGTCATGGTCGGCGGGACGCAGCGAGGTTCAAGAATGAAACCTGCCTTCACACGGTTTAGGGTTTGGTGGTTTGAGGTTTAGGGGTTTAGGGTTTAGGGGCTTGAGGTTTAAGATTTAGGGTTTAGGGGGTTTAGCGTTTTAAAACTTAGGGTTTAGGAGTTTAGGGGTCAAAAGTTTAGGGTTTAGGGTGTGTGTAGGGGTTAAGGGTTTAGGGTCTAATTAGGATATGAGGGTTTACCTGTACCTCCAACGATCCACAGTTCCTATGGGTTGTACCTACTAACTAGGAGGTCATTGCTACCAATCTTAGGAAGTGGGGTGCAAATGTTGTACAACACATTAGCAGTTGTCTACAGTTTCTATGGGTTATACCTGTTAAATCGGGGGTAACCACTACCAAACTTAGGTAATGGGAGCGCTAACACTTTCCCGAACATTAACAGCGTTCTACAGCTTTATGGCATTAAAAGATAATTGCCCGCGCAAGATCGACATTACGCTGGAGGCTGGAAGCTGTCTGAAGCACAATCCGCCTAACGTCATCCATGCCCCAATGCGGTCCCCTGATGTGTAACATGTCCCAAAAGCTGCGCTCAGAAGATCACAGTCTGTGATCCCCAAGCGTCAGGAAGCAAAGACTTGGCCTGTGAACCTGTAACAGACCGACAAATGCTGCACAGGAAGAATCCTCAGATCAGTCCGGAACCTGCGTCCGTCCCAATCCCTGCGAAATGCCGGCACTGCAGCATGATGATAGTTACTGCTAAGCTTGGGTAATTGGATTACAGGTACTGTCAATGCTTTGGGTTTAGGCTAGGGTCACGGTTCAACGCTTAGGCTCACCGTGCAGGGTTCAGGGGTTCAGTGGCACGGTCTACTGTTTAGAGTCAGTGTCACGATCTAGGGTTTAGGGGAACAACACAATAGAAGATGAATACAAGCAATCAGACGCCCCCGGCCTTACAAACCCTAAAGCCAAACCTTATTTCGCCTAAATCAAAGGTCCAAAAAGTTGACCTGGCGTTGGCCCCGAAGCCTGGGATCCGTAAATACTTAATCTGCCGACTCTGAAGACCAACTTAGGCAGAAGAATTCTGTTTCGGGTTTTGGGTTTTCTGACTGGTTCAATGCTTTGGATCTAGGCAGGTAAATCACTGTCACAGGGAGTGCACATGTAAGGGACCCTAAACCCTAAACCCTATAACTCCAGTATCAGCGGCCGATTGCCTTGAGACCGATGGGGCCTTAAAAGCAATAAAAATGCGTCCATGTCCCTTAGGCTCCATGTAGGTACTATTTATAGGGTTTGGGGCCAAATCTAGGTACTATTTATAGACTTAGAGCCCCAGGGTATTGAGCCATGAACTGAACACAAAATGCCGAACTCACCCTGGATGCCCCCAGACTCCCTTCCTAGAGGGTCAAAGAACACAAACAGCAACCACCCACCTAAGCCTGCACCCGAGACACCACACCCCAGGCTCAGAACCTAAACCCAAACCTTACATATAATCCATATGTATATGAACCCTTGTCTAAACTCCTAGTATCCCCCTTAATAACCCCTATAGTAGTCCCCTATATAATGCCCTATATAACCCCCCTTTAAGGAGTTTAGACTATAGCTCATATGTATATGGTCCTATGCAACCGCCATATCCCCTTCGAAGGGGCCGGCTAAACCCTAAGCCCCCACATCCAAACCCGCAAAGCGCCTTGTACTTCTTCACGCGCGCTACCTCCGCTGCCTGCAAAAGAGTTACACTCCCCCAAACTAACATGGAAACTCATATAGCCCCCTTTTAGAAGGACTGTAGTCTTTATAGGCCCCTTTTTGGGTTTCCATGTTAGTTTCCCGGAGTGTAGGGCCATGGGTTCCAGACCCAGACATGGGGACTTTAGGGTTATAGTGGCTATATAGGGGTATACAAGGATATAAAGGGCCTTTCACCTTTACAGTTTCCAGAAGTTAGGGGCCCCTTTTCTTGGAAACTGCCAGAGCATCATTCTTACGCTATTCTTATGGTTCTGGCTGCGACTCCATTAGTACCGGTCCTTCGTTTGTTTCCCCACAAGCCCGAGGTTTTAGTTCCTTGCTTGGCTCATGACGTGTTGTTGGTAAGCAATTGCTAGACAGTACAGAAAAACAAGCTACACATGAACCTGTCTAGAGTCTAGGGTAGGGTCTGGGAATTTTCCACATTTTGAACAAGAATCTGAATCCGCAAAAGGTCAGGTCAGTATTTGGGTTCAACTCGAAGCAGAAAATCCAAAGGAGCTCATGTTGGTAAAAAAGTGCAAACTCTGGCTGGAAAGAGCTCCATGTTTCGGGACTTGTAAAACAACATGTGCAAGGATAGTCTAGGAACGCCTACTTGATCTCCGCTCGCCACTGAGCGGGGACGAGAGTCCAGGGCTCTCAGAGAACACTGCACATGGCAAACATTGTTTTCTTCCCCTGTTTCAGGGCTCCTCGAAAATGATAGGCAATTTGGCCACGCACCTAACCCTCCAATGCTTTGAGGCCTCCTCAGGCTACTTTTCAAGAAAGAAGAATACTTTCACCAAGCTGGACTCCAAGTAGCTCAACTTCATACGCTTTGAGCCCATGCATTCGCCAGGCAGCACCGTTTTCGGGCTGCCCACTTCTGGCAGCGTTCCACCCGGCTCGAGCGCAAAAACGCAAGCCAGAAGCATCCGGCCTCCGCTTCTGCACACGTGGCTGCTTCTCCACCATGGAAGGAGCACACGCATCTGCAACATCCACTGTTGCTAAAGCTCTTCTCTGCAGATGGAGGTGCTTTCATCGCCGCCAGCCCTTGGCCTCCTTGCACCCAGAAAGCAGCCACAAACTGTACCAGTATCCAACTACCTCTACAGGAATTGGATGCAAATGGGATGTCCTCACTCATAGTTTTCTACACGGTGCGCCAATGACTATAGGATGATGACTTTCCCGCGATCTTAAGGCCAGAGCCCTGAAGCAGCTCGGGCACTCGTACGTGCAGTAGACATCTTCGAAGTTTGTGCTTTAGGGGTTGCTAGGTTTTATGGCAAGAGGTCCTTGATCTACTGCCTTAAATGCTTGCACTGGGCCTGGCAAGTGGCCTGGAATTCTGTGTCAAAATGGAGCTACCCTTACAAGTCCCTAAACAATGAAACGTGTCCCCTAAACCCTAAACCCTGAACCATTTGCTGTAGGGTTGGGTGGCCTTTAGAGCTGGGAAACAGTGAAGGGCCGCAGCGGCTATGGGCGGCTATGATCTACAAGGTTCTTGTCACCCAGATTTACTAGTTTGCCGTTAAGGAATTGAATTTAAGTTACTATATTGGGGAAACCATATGGAATACTATATACATATATATATATATATAAATCTCTCTCTCTCTCTCTCTCTCTATAGAAATACCCATTATGGTAACTTGACTTAAGTTCCTTAACAGCAACCCAGTTTAAGTGTCAAGGTTTCAGGGTAAGGAGTTATGGAGAGGACAGCAAGGCTCATGAGATTGGGGGACGATGGGTTCAGGGTTTAGGGACTCACCTGGCTGGGGGTGGAGGATCAAAAAAAACAAATAAGGATCAAAAAAAAACAAAATCTGAGGATCAACAAAAAACAAATAAGGATCAACAAAAAAACAAAATCGTGGAGTTAATAGTAAAACTGGTAGAACGGAGACAAGTC